CATCCATAAATAAAAATGCCACCTAATCAATTGAAGAATCCACCTCATCAATTGAACTCCAACTAAGCAATTTTGACAAATGACATCATCATTTGCCACATGTCAATCATTGAGGGCATAGATCCTCTTTTTATATTATATATAGATAAAATAATAATAAAGAACACAATTTTTATGATATACATATCATCAATAATTTGGGTTACATCAACTCAAACAACTCAAATTTAGGAAAGCCAAAATAGACAATTAAGTTATATATAAACTCAAAATAAATAAAAAATACTTCACACTTAATCAATTCAATATAATTAATCAATCAATCATAAATTCTTCAAGCTTTTTTCTTAGGATTAAAAACCCTGCAATTCTTCCTAATTTCTCCAGCTTTCCCCACAAGAACTTGTATCTTACTCATCTTGATCATAGCATTCGCAAAGCTCTGTTGAAACGCAACGCCGTTCTTCGCGAAACCCGATACGATTGGTGCGCTTAACCTATCCAATGCCAGCTCCTGATCAATCTGCATGATCCCTCTCTTGAACAAAGTCTGATTGTAGAATTGATTATCGAACGCGAACGAAGTTCCCTGGTCGAGGAAAACCTTCGGATCGCTGCTCAACGGCCTAAACTGGGTCCCACAAGTCTTCAGAAGCCTAGCGGCCAATGCGGGTTCCATGGTGGGGTCAGGCTTTCCAGTTCCCTGGAAATTGGAAAGCCTGTCCTGGAAAAACCCACAGTGGGCCACGCCCACTGTGTGGGCCCCCAGTAGGGTGACCATGTCGTTCATGGTCATCCCTTTCGCCCTGAAAGTGGCGAAGGCGTCCGAGACCGACTGCGAGGGTCCCGGTAGATCGACCTCGTTCGCGTCGGAGACGAGCCCGTCACGTCGGCCGGTGGACAGGGTGTACTTGGGCCCACCGGCCAGAGCCACCGAGTCTCGGGTGGCTAATGTGATTATGTCGGCGCATGAGACGGTGGAGGGGCATACGGCTTCTACGGCTTTCTTGGCGGCGTCGATTAGGTCGTTGCCCCGGACGGTTAGGTTCGGGCCCGCGTCCTTTTCCGAGGATGTGGTTCTTGTGGAGTCTATGAGTATTGATGCATCACAACCCTTCATTTGATATGTATATTGATTGTATTAATTAGTGTACAAGAATAAGAATATTTGGAGGTTATGCCAAAATAATAATACAAAGAATAGAGTAGAATTATTTTGTTTTTTGTTTATTTTTTAAATTAAAACGTGGGGAAGTGTATGTGTTTCTTCTTCACAATAATATAAGCAAACATATCTTTTTGTCTATATGATTGGCAATATAGTCATATTCAAATTAAAATACAAAATTTAACTATGGAAAACCCAAAAAAAATTCAAAAAAAAAAAATTAAAAAACAATAAAAAAAAAAAAAAAAAAGCTAAGAAAAATTTGTATAATGGATTTAGGGTTTCAAAAATTCAAACCATCCCTGAATTAAGATACATAACTAATTTTATTGCAACATATTACATATATAATGTAATAGCATATTAAAATAGGTAACGGTTTTTTTTTTTTTTTTTCCGTTTAAACGTACCCGAACGAAGCAATCGTGGAAATGCATTCGAAGCAAAGCTGCGGTAATGGAACGATCTTTACTAAATCTTTGTTTCACAACTCCTTGGATTATCGATTCAGCTTTCGGACACGTGGTACTGTAAAACCCTAATTTTAGTTGAGCAGAAGCAAAACAAATAATGCTGAGGAAAACAACTACTA